CAAGGGACCGCCCAAATGAGCCTATGAGGCTCTCTCGTTACTTGAAACGAGGAGAATGTACTTGAGTACATTGAACCCAAATTTGGGTGAGATTTGAGAGAAAATCTCAGCCCTAGGTTCAAAATTCTGATTTGGGGAGTTAATTGAGCCCAAATCAATCAATTGGGGCTGAAATTGGCTCCGAATTGGGCTCGACCCGAATCGAATTGAGTCGATTTGGGTCCGATTTTGTTCGATTGAGTCAATTTTGCGAAATTGAACTCCGATTGATGCCGAATAACGTCGAATTGGGTTCGACGACGCTCGACGAGGTTCGATTGGGTTTTAATTGATTTGATTTAATTTTAATTTAATTAAATTGATTTAATTTAATTAAATTGGAGTTTAATCTGAGTCGATTTTGTCTCGACGTCGATCGATCGAGTCGATCGAGCCTAGTCGGGCTCGATCGAGGTCGAGCCGGTGCGAAAATATTCGTCAACAGAAAACACTTACAAATTATATTAGAACAAGACACGACACAACTTAAGGCTTACAATAATTTAAGAGAAGAAAGATATAGATGGGGAGGGAACCGCTGATAGAGAAGAAGAGGTAGAAACTGAGACGAAATAGAAGAGGGAAATGGGAAAGGAGGCTAGCTCGCAAGCTAGAATAAAACCCGCATGTTACATTTCAAAAATCATCAAATACTCCTCGCTTGCAGAAAAAAATAGCTCATTATTTAGGAGGAAAATGACCTAACAGTCACATAACTGTGCCATTCAAAGTAACCAATAGAAGCCTCATACGTTAGCCCTTTTAACGAGTTAATACACCTAGAATATCAAAACATTAGAAGGGAAAAAGGGGGCAGCACCGTGGAAAAAACAACCAGCATAGGGAAATAAAAGCTGCATGGAGAACATGAACAACCCACCAAAATCTACATGGGGAACATAAACCGCCAACAAAATCTGCATAGAGAACATGAACAACCCACCAAAATTTGTATGGGGAACATGAACAACCAACAAAATATATATATAGAGAACATGAATATCCAACTGAAATCCTTGAAAAACCAAAAGCCAGCAAAAGGAATCCAAATGTTGCTTAGAGAACACACTTCAAAACAGCCTAGAGAACTCCAACAACTATTCGAATTTAAATACTCATATTGCTAACAAGGAAGCAAAAGAAAATATAAACTTATCAACCTTTGCCTACATCAATTCTCCCCTGGTGGAGAATTCTCTTCTCCTGTTGAGATCGTCTCAAAACTTTGAAGATGCGGTATTTCTATTTCCTGAATTAGCGCGTCGTACTTTCTTCATATGGTCTCCTTCTCTTGATCAAATTAAGAGAAAAGCTGAAGCTTCCTATTTTTATATCGTTCTGCACATAAATACATTATCTCTTGTATTTTGCAAAATTCATTCTGAAGTGTATCAATAGAACATCCTTGTTGAGAAATCATCCTGATTGTTGGAATTTTCTCTTCTGAAATAGCTGACATAGAAGGTTGACTTTCAAAAGAAAAAGAAAGGATTGCAAATGATTGTCCTTTTTTTCTTCTAAAGAAAAAGAAAGACTTGAAACTTAGGCCTGTAAATGATTGTCCTCTTATTTTTCTAAAGAAAAAGAAAGGAAGAATCACAAAAACCAAAGCTGTTATATCAAATTGATGCAACCTAGGAATCCTAAGTCTAGTAAGAGAGCACTAAGTATGCAAAGGAAAAAAATACCAAATAGAATTTCAATAAAAAAAGACATTCCTTTTAATATGACAAATAAAATACAACAAAGCTTTCATCTTCTAATAAAAACCACTTACAATTTATATTAGAACAAGACACGACACAAATTAAGACTTACAATAATTTAAGAGGAGAAAGATCCAGATGGGGCGAGAACCGTGAATAAAGAAGAAGTGTAAAACCGCGACGAAATAGAAGACGAAAAGGGAAAAGGAGGATAGCTCGCAAGCTAGAATAAAACCCACAGGATACATTACAAAAATCATCACACACTCCTCACTTGCAAAAAAAAATGGCTCCATATAGGAGGAACATAACCCAACAGACACATAAATGTATCATCCAAAGTAGCCAATAGAAGCCTCACAAGTTAGCCGCTTTAATAAGGAGTTAATATACCTATAATATGAAAACAACAACAGGGAAAAAGGGGGCAGTACGTTGGAAAAAAATAGCCAGCATAGGGAAACAAATACTGCAAGGAGAAAAATACCCACCAAACTCTGCATGGGGAACATGAACAACCATCAAAATCTGCATAGAGAACATGAACCACCAAAATCTGCATGGGGAACATGAACAACCAACAAAATATGCATAGAGAATACGATCAGCCAACCAAAATACTTGAGAAACCAAAAGCCAACAAAGGGAATCCAAATATTGCCTATGAAACACACTTCAAAGTATCCTAGAGGACTTTAACAACTATTCAAAATTAAATACTCATATTGCTAACAACAAGCAAAAGAAAATATTAAATTATCAAGCCTTGCCAATATCAGAGCTCCTCAATGTGTTGTATTAATGTTGATCTTAAAAAAACAAATGGTTAGTCATCAACTATTGGTTTAAACATTTGGGTCATAATTAATTTGATTATTGGTAAGATTGACTATAATGACCTTAGCACCCTAAATGAAAATAAAGATTTCTGTTTTTATCGGCGTATTAGTAAAACTGAAGTTAGAGAGACTTTAAAGAAAATGAAGGGTGGAAAAGCTGTTGGACCTGATGATATTCCAATAGAGGTGTGGAAATGCTTAGGAGATGAAGGAATTTCATGGCTTACTAAACTTTTTAATACTATTTTGAAGACTAAAAAGATGCCAAATGAGTGGAGAATGAGCGTGTTAATTTCTATTTTTAAGAATAAAGGTGATGCACAAGATTGTACGAATTATAGAGGTATTAAGTTAATGTGTCATACTTTAAAACTATGGGAGCGAGTTATGGAGCATAGATTGCGGCATGATACTAATGTTTCTCAAAATCAATTTGGATTCATGCCGGGTAGGTCGACTATGAAAGCCATACATTTATTAAGAGGCTTGAAGGAGAAATATAGAGGAGGATCTACATATGATATTTATTGATTTAGAAAAAGCATAGATAAAGTTCCAAGAGAAGTGCTATGGAGAGTTCTTGAAAAGAAAGGAGTCAATAATGCTTATATACAAATCATTAAAGATATGTATGCAGGAGCTATTACTTGTGTTCAAACACAAGGTGGATTGACCAAGTATTTCCCTATTTCGGTTGGGTTACATCAAGGATCAGCCTTAAGCCCATATCTTTTTGCTTTAGTCATGGATGTTCTCACTAGACATTTGCAAGAGGATGTACCTTGATGTATGCTTTTTGCTGATGATATTCTTCTTATTGATAAGACTAGAGAGGGAGTTGAAGGTAAACTTGAATTATGGAGGTCAACCTTAGAGTCTAAAGGTTTTCGCTTGAGTAGATCTAAAACAGAATATATGGAGTGTAATTTTAGTAGTAATAGACCTACTGAAGGGATTGTGACTTTGGGCGATCAAGTCATTAATAAGAGTACACGTTTTAGATATCTTGGATCTATTGTTCAGAGTGATGGTGTTAGAAAATATTAGGAATGACCTTTCTTTATTAGATTTAAACGAGAATTTGACTTTTAATAGGACACAAGGAAGAAAAAGGATTCATGTAGCCGACCCCACATAGTGGGATAAAGGCTTGATGTTGTTGTTGTTGTTGTTGTTGTAAATCAGGCCTAACTTTTGATCCCCATTTGGTTTCACGCTCCCAAACAAGTGGTATCATATCACATAATTTAGTTGAGATGGATGAGTCGAACCTTACCAACTTCTATCATCACCTAAAAAAGATCAAGAGCAGAAAATACATGATGAATCTGCACGGATGAGTGAGTTTGTGATAAATTATACTTGATGATATTAAAAAGCTTCCATTTCAAGGAGAATTGTAATAAATTTGGAGAGCTCTCTTATAAAGAGAGATTATTAAGACACATGAGAACATTAAAGTTACTAACACAAAATATTTAAAAAATATAATGTTTCAGGAACAAGTGGTTTACTACACTGCATAAAACATTAGATATCCCATTTCAGACATAAATGTAAATAGACAATTACAAAAACATTTTTACTAAGAGGAATATTATTAGAATTTAACTACTCATCTCATTTTCTCTTTTCTTATGAAAACCAAAATTCCTAATCTCTCTTCCTCAATTGGATGTCAGCCACAATCTCCTAATTCTTCTAAACAACTTGCAGTTCAAATAAAAGCTAAAACTCATACATAAACCCTAGAGTCAATATTTATTCTACCCTACATCTACAAAGAGCTGGATCCTAATTCACTATGGCTGCATGCTTCCTCCAAACCCTCTATACCTCCCTTAGACCATAGATTTAAATATTCCTTAAACCAAGCTCCCATGGCCCTAAGGTCAGCATAGCAGATCCATTCAAAGCTTCAACAAAACAAAATTATTAGCTCCTTCAAATCAATCCTATCGAGTAAATGCCTAAGATATCATCACTTATATTTGGATCATTCTGGTATAATATTCTATAAAAGGAAGCAATCCTAGCATCATACATGCCTGGATGTACGCAAGAATATATCAATATGTGCTTGCATGTACAAATGCGTGAACACTAGGACGCAGGTATCTAGGTATAGACAATTTTATGAAGAAATGTGAAGTGCACGTGTACACTGATACATGTTGCTTTAAACGTGTAATTATAAATACTTATGTATATAAAGGATAACTTTCTTTTTCTTATTGCTATAGAAATCCAAGACGAGATAAAGCAAAGTGATTTTGCACTATTAGATGCCCAGCAAACTACGTTCACCCAAATAACGGCTGAAAGCAAGGAACAAAATAAAGCCAGTGCTTCTCTTTAATAAGGAATTTCCTAAAAGAAGCAAATTTAAAAAACAGTGGGATTCATAGATACTTACAGTTGTAGTCAGTCCAACCAATAACTTGATTCTCAAGATCATAGACAACTAGCTTATTTGATAAGACCAAATCTGCAAAATGAGCTTAAGGTAAATATGTGAATAAGGTGAAAACAGTTGGAACCAAAAATATCTGTTTAGCCTTAAAGAATATATTAAGAGCCTGTTTTTGAGATGTTTATTACCTGTTTGGTTCAATGTTTTTGAGATGTCAAGCTTACTAAGATATTAGTGTTTATGTCTGAAAGTGCTCTAATGGTACTAGAAAGTTCTACAGGGATGTTAAGCCCTTATGAACTGGTCTCAAGGCTAACCAAGAGAGGGAGGTGAATTGGTATTTTAAAAAATATTTCAATCAAAACACAATCTTAAAACAAAAAATCAAGATTCACCACAGACATCAAAGTGCGGAAATTAAATGCAGAAGCAGTAATAAAGAACACAGAAATATATAGTGGTTCGGTCAACACGATGTGACATTTTAACAAAATTAAGTTCCAGGGTAAATTTTAGAAGGCAGATGGGTTTGTAGATAAGACACTAACCAGAGATTTCGCCCTCATTTTGTGACTTTAAAATCTGAGTTCTGGTTTCCTATAGGCGCAAGCCCCTATAGTTAATTACCCCTCCCGATAACGAGAGAGAACTTTCGATTAAGGCTAGTCGTCAATCAAATACGTTGTATCCATAGATACGAAGTATTAAGCATATAGTAGCAGCATGGGCAATCAGAATTTGAAAATTTGAAGATTTTGGAGGATTTGACATTTAAAATAGAAATTATACCATCTTGCACTTAAAGCGGATAGTGGGGGAATGGATGATGGACCCGATCAAGATCCTATGGTTCTGTCGTCCTGGCATGGTCACTGGTCTACTTAGTCAGAGCGGTACTTGACCCAACCTGACAGAAGGATCCTTGTCGGCAGCCATGGGTTGCTTCGTTTAAGGGTACCTGCAGACCTGGGGTGAATGTTTGTCTAAGGGGACAAATTTGAATCCACCTTAGCTAACAGAGAGCTTTGTGCCCTATCGATCATATCCTATTGATTCATATCTTAAGGATTTGATGTTATTAAGGAGCGTATTGGCTCTGACCATAACTGGTATTTTGTTGTGTCATTTAGTGGCAAAACAACTCAGTTCAGAGGGCCTCGGGTCATAACCGTTTATCCTGCGGTGCCATTTGGCGGGAAAACCACAGGTTAGAGGACACGTACCACGTCCTTACTGACAAGAGATTGTTTGAGAATAGATCCTAGTAATATTTTCGACTAGGCATTAACTCTTTGTGAGCTGAAGTAAATTTTAATTTGTCCACCACGGCAAACTGTTGCGGATGGTGGATGGATTTTGCGTTAAGTTATTTGATAGTTGGATTTCAATTTTAAATATTTTTTGGATTTTGAGATTTTGTGGCGTTTTTTTTGGATTTTGAATGAACTTTTGGTAGGCATTTACAAAAATTAGTGGACCCCTCCAGTTGAGATCTTCATTCAACACAGCCATCATTAGTGAATTCTCTTGATTATAAGCCTTGAAGGCCTAATATGAATGTATTAAAACAAATATATCGGTCGCCACAACCGTATATTTATTTGATGGTTCAAACCCTATCGACTCCTATTCATCCGCATGGAAGGATCGGGTTCGAACTTGAATTCACTTGTCGACCAGGGAGCATCTCTAGACGTCATGTGTGTACTTATAACACACTCGTCGGGGCCCATGCGGGTCTTTGGGAGCATTTTATAATTATACCCTGTCTACTCCTTTCACCTACCTAGGAGGATCTGTTTTAAATTTAATAACCCGCGCAGCATCCTTAGACGTCACGTGTGTACCAATAATATGCACGCCGGGGCCCTTGCGGGTGTTTGGTTACATTTACCCCTTTTGTGTACCTATGTGTATACAAATTACGGTGCATGTGCAGGGGTAGTTTGAAATATTTGTGAACGTCTTCTATCCGCTTGTATGGATACTGCGTATCCGGTGGCGTGAAGTAGCAACTTCTGGATCAGTTATTTGCTGCTTTGTACAGGTAGACTGTTGTATACTACTTGCATGATTTGCGTAGGTAAATTGTAGTGCACTAATGAATCTCCTGTTTTTGCTACAAATGATGACGACCGCTGGAAGTCTTCAATATTAATTAGTGGATGGCATGTATAGCAAGTATCATACGACAGCCTGTAGGTGTTTGCATTTGCTGAATGTGTCCCACCTCTTCTTGTAGCGGGCCAATATGTAACCTCAATTGTGTGGTTGTTGGCTACAAAGAGATTTTAACCTTTACTATTTGTTATAGATCATCACCCGTAGGAGCATTCTTGTGTATATGGTGACTCCCTCATCATTAATAGTGATTATTTGTATTCGTCGTCATCTTCTATCTCTTATTTGTAGAAGATCTCCTATACTATCGATGCATAATACACAACGTATGTAGTTATACATGCAAAGGAGGGTGATAGATTTATTAGACGTCGAATGGTGATTGATTATAGGAGTGTTATGACATCCACATCTATTGATCATCACCCGCCTATGCATATTATAGTGCATGAGATGCATTTTCCATCACGAATAGTAGATCCTTGTATTCACCATGATCTTTTATCTTTTGCCTATAAATGATCCACCACACTAGTGATGCATTCACTATCATTGTTTATAGATAGGATCATTATAAGAGAGAAGGGTTCCCCTGTAGTAGCTTGTAGGAATTTACACTTTGATGTGGTCATTTCACATTCATAGGCATTTGCACTTGATGTGCCAATCAATTACCTTCTGCTTGCAAGGGATATATGTATTCGTATATCGGTATTGAGTGTATGGTAACTTAGTTGTGTTCATTCATTTCTTCATGCATGTTGATTGTCATTGCTTGCAGGTTTGATTGCATTTGCTTGTGTCTTGACATTGATCATAGAACATCATCACATTCACTCTGCTCATATCGCTTATTGATATTTGCTTGTACTTAAATTACATGTTGAATTTCTTTTGGTCATATTTGATTGCATGATTGACATAGATTGACTTGGCTGCTAGATGTGTTGCATTTTTCGATTAGTATTTGCTTGTTAATATAAGGCATATGTCACGTATCTATTTAACCATCAATCATGCTTGACTAGTGCTCCAATAAAACTCAAGTTCAACTCAAATCCCTTTGGATTTAGTTCTATTTAAGCTTTGTTTTTAGTCAAATGTGCCATTTGAAATCAAGTTCAAAAATGGGTCCAAATCATTTGAGTTCCAATCCATCAAGCTCAAGCTGTTAGTATCCAAGCTCAATTCATTTAAATCTAACTTGAATTCTCAATTATGTTCAAGTAGTTCAAATTCAATTTGCACGTTCCTGTTAATTATCAAGCCATGGTTCATGTTCACATTATTTCTTCTTGACATTGAAATGAAATTCAAATATTGTTAGAGTTCTTTGCACTTAATTCATTTAAGTTCAAGTTCTATATCGTCTTGCTCGGTTCAAGTCATATGTCCCCTGCGGACCTTTGGGTTCAATCGAGTTCAAGCCTTGTTCATAAGTCCTCTATTTGAGTTCAAGTATCATACTCAACTTCACTTGAGTTCAAGTTCATTTATATTCAAGTTTAAGTTCAAATTAAGTGCATTTAATGTTCCTTCAATTTACAAGTCCAAGTCCTTGTCCTTTTCGGACAAAAATTCGGCAGCCTCCCGACATCTCCCCCGTTTAGGGAAAAAACCAAGAGGCAGTCTTCTCCTCGATGCTACGTGAACGCTTCAGGTAGGTGTCAAAATGACACCGCGATTGCAAATATATATATATATACTGTTTTATACCCGCCCGCTACGTGAGAGTTTAAGGGTTTTTTTTGTTTTTTTTTATTAAAGAGCACAAATTTTCCCCCTCTGCGCTACATGAGCGTTCAGGGGTACTTATTAAACATATATTTTTTTATCCCCCTCGCCGCAATCCCTGCACCAGTTTCTCTCCTTACAACGCTACATGAGCGCGTCTGGGGGTTTGTCGGCTCGTCGCTAGCAATGAAAAAGGATTTTGGGTCGCCACAAGCGCCGCACCGGTTTCCCTCCTTACAACGCTACGTGAGCGCGTAGGGGGTTTACCGACTCGTTGCTAGCATTGAAGAAAGATTTTCATGTTAGAAGTTTATACCTTTGCAAATAGCGAAGACGAGGTTGGCACATATATCGAGGCGAGCATTTAATTTATAAATAATGATAAATTAATTATAATTAGTTCTATTTAATTTACAACTAATTATATTTAATTTACAATTAATTACAAATTAATTGGATTTAATTTATAATTAATAAATTTTAAATATAATTAATTACATTTAATATATAATTAGTTATATTTAATTTAAAATTAATTATAAATTAACTAAATTTAATTTGAGATTAATTATAAATCAATTAGAAATAATCCCAAATAATAAATATAATCATTAATTAACAATAATGATTATTATTAATAATTATGGTAACATAACTATTATAATTAGTAGTTGTTATAATTATAATAATTATATCACCTAATTAATATAATTTTTAATAATTATAATAACAATGATTATTAAAAATAATTATTATTATAATAATTAAATGTGATTAACATTAATTAGAGGTTAGGGATTACCTTAGGCTAATTTGGGTTCCGAATGGGCTAAGAGGGGTTTGAGTTAGGATGATTTGGGCTAAGGACTGAGTTGAGTGAGTGAACTGAGTAGGAGTGAGTTGGAGTGAGTCAACTATGTTAAATCCTAACAGAGAGTAAAAAGGGGAAAGGAGTCGGTCGAGTGAGAAGTTCGGCTAAGGGCTCGGGTCTTGGTTGCTCTGTTGGAGCTCTATCGGCAAGGGGGAATCGGGAAGAGGAGGCGCCGGCCAGGAGATCGGGCAAGGTAGGTTTCTCTCCCTCTCTCTCTCTCTCTCTATCTCTCTCTCTCTCTCTCTCTCTGTGAGGATCGGGAGGAAGAAGGCACGGAAGAGGCTTTCCCTGAGTTCTAGCGTCGACTTTGGTGCAAGAGTCGGGTTCGGGAGGTGTTCGTGAATGGGGAAGTGGTGAACGGGGGAAGATGTGATTGGAGAGGGAGGAGGTCGGTTCGACGAGAGGGAGAGGC